CCCCCCCCCCCCCCAGTAAAAATTCCTTAAAAAAGGCACTGTTTTGGACGTCTTGTTTGATAAAACTAATAAAAGAACTGAAAGCACAGCATAAATAGGAATACCTGGGCTTTAGCACAAACTAAGTTTTCGGACTGTCAAACTATGTTTTATAGTATATTTTTTAGAGATGAAGAACAAGGTTTCCTTCGGCACGTCGAAGCTTTCGTCATTTTTTCAAAATACAAAAGCAAAACTCCTCACTTTTTGCTGCAGAGAGATGTAAAACAGTTGGAAAACTAGGTTTGAATTCCAATCGTTGTAGTATTCCCATGGAAAAGTGTTTTTCTTGCAAACTTTTGCTCAAAAACAAACTTTTTACCGAATTTTTTATTCACTCCTGGGAACTCTCCTTAGAAACTGCTTTCCCGCGCGTCGGCTTCAAGTTACCCATAGTATGATTTTAATTCCCCCCCCCCGAATCTGGGTGACACGTGACCAGCCGATACCAGGGTCTTCCTTCGCCTCGCGCCTTTTTGAGAAAGACCCTGAGAACGAGGTTGAGTTTTCGTGAGGATTAAACAGTCTCGAGGCCTTGAGGGAAATATCTATCGTGTCTTGTGTGCAGCAGGCTTTAGGAGCCAATCCCAACCCACCCTGCATGTCCCGAGTACCCGGAGAAAATCCACACGACTTCCGGTAGAGCGTTGACTAACTCTTTTCACATGAAGTTATACGGTGGTGCTTGCACTTATGGATGCTGCCGTACAACTATGGATGTTGTCGCACGTTCTGCTACACACAATGCGGAGTCCAAATGCGACAGTTGAAACTGTTGCGCGCTCAAAACCCATGGTCGAATATCCAACTCGTGCAGAGCTTAAAAGGTGCACCTATAAAAACACTAGTTTTAAGCAATTGCCGAACAAACTTGCGAAAGCAATGCCATCTTAAATGAGACTAAAGCTTATTAATTAATTGAATGTTCAGCAATTAAATTTTAACACAAACAAAAAAGTTTGGAAGTACGAAGATTTCGTCTTACATGTATGGGTAACTGTTACAAACACCATATATCAATCAGGTCAAATCATTGACATATATTCTCATTTCTGTAAACACGTCGATACAATTATGCGCGCTTTATAAATATATATTTGTCAGTAAATTGTAAAATCAAGTCAGAATTTACATTGACTAGTATGTATACATATGAACACTTTGTCTTTGTATTACATTAAGGTATTTTTTTACAGTTACAATGGTTTATTTAAAAATTTAAATGATTTATGGTTCGTACAGTTATTTCCCCGAGCCAACGGGGGATTGTATCAACGAATTGTATCCCTACCCCCACCCCACCACGCCCCTAACCTTAGGTAATTATGTCAAATAAATTATTACGATTGTTCAGCCGCTGTAGTTGCTTACCCTTAATGGCGTGGGATTGGGTCATTCTTCCATGGTTAATCTAGATTTTAGATAGCTGTGCACTCGATCGAGACATACCATGGCTTATTTACATGGCTGCATCGTTTCTACGTGTAGATTCTTATTGGTTTACAGTATTCCAGCACAAGTATACGGTTATTCTAAGAAATATTCACTGGCACAGTAGCTCGAATGTCCAGCATTCCTGAAGTCTTTGGATCTAATCTCCCTTGTCAACATCGTCGTGTAAGTTTGTAAATTTATCAATTGAAGTTAGCAGCTGAGATGCGAGTTTTAGTGCATCTGCCCCAGAATGAAGTTGTCTAAAAGGAAAATAATTGTTATGATTTTGTTGAGCTAAACTCACTAACATTAGATTAAAATTATTTACTGGTTTGCAATCAGTCTCTTAAGATTTACAAGACAAAGATATAGAGGACATGTTAGAGGAAAGCACGCTCCAAATACAGTAGCAGCTAATGATATAGACTATACTTTCAATACAGATGGGTTTAAATATTCTTTCATGAACATTTTAATCAACTTTCTCAGCCTCGCTTTTGTGATCGATATTGAATAGAATTCTTGAACGTGAACGAGGCTAAGAACAACATTTCCCAAGGCTGAGAACTTTCCTAAATGATCTGTTGGAATACTATACATAAAAAATCAAGAGCAAAATCACCTTAATGATTCCTCTGCCTTTTTAGCGGTGGCATCAAGATGCTGAGACACTGATAATGCTTGCTCTTTAATGCTGGATATATAATTCTGGTGCTTATTAACCAAGTCATCGTAGATAGCTTTGCTAACGGAATTACTCTGAAATGAAATCATTTATTGAATAACATAAAATTTTAATCAGCATCATTCAAAGTCCGCTCGACTGCGCATCAAAATAGCGAGTTTGGCAAATACAAGGGCAATAGTCCGTGTGTTGTGACCCGATATCGTTCACTTTCATTCTGAAATATTTTTACGGGAACTAACACTTTCAAGCATGCTGAGTTCAAATCCAAAAAGTTCCCGTTCCGGAGACCCGCACTTTTCTCACAAAATGCTATTTTTTCATTTTTCAACGACACGGATCGATGACGATACACGATTATGGGGATAGTCTATATGGCGCGGGGCGCGAGTCAGTAGAAATGGCGCGGATCCAGCGAAAATGGCGCGGGTCCAACGAAAATGGCGCGGGTAACAAGTTCCGAGGCGCAAGTAAAAGTTCCGAGGCGCGAGTAACAAGTTCCGAGATCAATTGCCCGGTACTTATTTTCAAGATGGCGGCTATTTTGACTAATTCCTTACTGTACATGCGATCAAAATGTTTTATTCAAAGGATGTGAAACGGTAATCTTATGTAGTGGATCAGCATTTAAATTTCCAACACAGTTTCCGAGACGCAATTCAAGAGATAACTTATCATTGCATTTGAACTATCACATCACTCATCAGTTGGTGTTATGCTGTGCGATAAGCGAATATTATTGGAAAGAGGGCTTCGATATACGTTGAAATCACCAAACAGGCCTCGAATTTAGCGGCGGCCACGGTGGCCACTGGCCGTCGATGCCCTGCTTGTTGGCCGCTATGCCCTCGAAATATACTGAAATCCACGGCCAGTAGTGGCCAGCCCTCAACCCCAGACTACAGTACTTAGGCTTTAGAAAACCAAGTGTATGATTTGTAAAATTGGCAATAAATTTAAAATAGTATTTAAATGCACCTTTTCGTCAGCCAGAATCATGTATTAAAATATCCACAGTTTTGTTTGGATATTGTTGCATTTTTTTTTAATATTGTTGCTGTTCTGTATATTTTTCTTGTCTCATGGAAACTCAAACGTTATTTGAAACTTCAAAATAGCAACTGAATAAAATTTTCAAACTGGCCTTGAATCTTGATGCCCTGTGTACTGGCCTTGATGCCCTGAAAAACTTAGTAACATTCAAGGACAAACTGGCCTTGCCTTTATGTTTCTCAAATTCGAGGTCTGACCAAATAAACAGCTCATGCACACATTCCCCCCACTTCGTCGTAAGTTTACATGCAGAGCATATTTTATACTTTGGGACTGATCTTTGTCTTTGATGTGAACATTTATTCTTATAGTTTAAAGTTATCGAAGATTGATCCTGTCGTAAGTGTTCTACCAGCAACCAATCGACAATATTTCATTTTAGCGTTGTCTTTGCCGTTACGTTGGCTTCGCGTTACTTTTGTTTTAAATACTTTCGTCGCGTTAAAAGAGCTATTTTTCAGGCCAGTGACATAGCCAAAAGACTTCACATTAATGTCCTTGTGATGTTATAGAGATATCTCTAGAACTGAGAATCTTTAGCGTTCAAAATGATTTCAATTATCACAACATAGTATATATACCTTTAGCATCTTATTTTCTTCTTTTAATTTAACATTCGTCGCTTCTACTTGTGCTGCTCGTTGCTAAAAAAGAATTTGTAATTTTATCGTCAACTTCAACTTTAATTAGCTAAAAATGTTTGTCCACTAATGCTGTGTGCTTTAGGTTTGTTTTGAAACGAGATTCTTACAGTAGTCAACTCCAAATTTTTCTCAACCATATGAACCATTTTCTCCAAAGCAGCGGTTTCTTCGTTCTCCTTCTGTTGCATTTCCTTTAATTTTTTCACAAGGGATTCTGCTCTGCGAAATGGTATAAACTGTTAACATATTATTTACTTAGGAAAAACTTTAAGGAGATGAATTATTTTGTAAATATGCAGAATATTGATATTTTCTGTGTTGGTGTAATGTACTCAGGCGAATAAGATGCTTGTGATGTTACTCTGAGTGTATATCCTCACCGGGCAGGCTCGAAAATATCACATACTCGAACCGACCTGACCGCGTAGCTCAGTTGGCAGAGCATTGGGTTAGTGTTCCAAAGGTCGTAGGTTCGATTCCCACCGTGGCCAGGCATGTTTTTCGAGCCTGTCCGGTATGGATATACACTCAGAGTAACATCACAAGCATCATGCAGAATATTGTTATAATACATCAATACGGCAATTGTGGTTATTATAACCTCATTCATTTGCTCACTCGTTTCGGTACAATCATTGTATAGCTTCGTGTTAAGCGTGCATGTAGGCAAAAACAATTGGCAAATAGTATGCACAGTGTAGATAAAGTAGTTATTAATGTACACAAGGTACAGTAGTCATAGTGTAGACAAGATAGTCATAGTGTAGACAATGTAGTCAATGTAGACAATGTAGGTCACAGTGTAGACAAGGTAGTCATAGTGCAGACAAGGTAGTCATAGATTAGTGTAGACAAGGTAGTCATAGTGTAGACAAGGTAGTCATAGTGTAGATAAGGTAGTGATAGTGTAGACAAGGTAGTCAATAGTCATAGTGTAGACAAGGTAGTCATAGTGTATACAAGGTAGTCATAGTGTAGACAAGGTAGTCATAGATTAGTGTAGACAAGGTAGTCATAGTGTAGACGAGGTAGTCATATAGTGTAGACAAGGTAGTTATAGTGTAGATAAGGTAGTGATAGTGTAGACAAGGTAGTCAATAGTCATAGTGTAGACAAGGTAGTCATAGTGTAGACAAGGTAGTCATAGTGTATACAAGGTAGTCATAGTGTAGACAAGGTAGTCATAGATTAGTGTAGACAAGGTAGTCATAGTGTAGACGAGGTAGTCATATAGTGTAGACAAGGTGGTTATAGTGTAGATAAGGTAGTGATAGATTAGTGTAGACAAGGTAGTCATAGTGTAGACAAGGTAGTCATAGTGTATACAAGGTAGTCATATAGTGTAGAAAAGGTAGTTATAGTGTAGACAAGGTAGTCATAGTGTAGACGAGGTAGTCATATAGTGTAGACAAGGTAGTTATAGTGTAGATAAGGTAGTGATAGATTAGTGTAGACAAGGTAGTCATAGTGTAGACAAGGTAGTCATAGTGTATACAAGGTAGTCATATAGTGTAGACAAGGTAGTTATAGTGTAGACAAGGTAGTCATAGTGTAAACGAGGTAGTCATATAGTGTAGACAAGGTAGTTATAGTGTAGACAAGGTAGTCATAGACATAGTGTAGACAAGGTAGTCAGAGTGTAGACAAGGTAGTCATAGTGTATACAAGGTAGTCATAGTGTAGACAAGGTAGTCATAGATTAGTGTAGACAAGGTAGTCATAGTGTAGACGAGGTAGTCATAGTGTAGACGAGGTAGTCATAGTGTAGACAAGGTAGTCATAGTGTAGACAAGGTAGTCATAGTGTAGACAAGGTAGTCATAGTGTAGACAAGGTAGTCATATAGTGTAGATAAGGTAGTCATATAGTGTAGATAAGGTAGTCATAGTGTAGACAAGGTAGTCATATAGTGTAGACAAGGTAGTCATAGTGTAGACAAGGTAGTCATATAGTGTAGACAAGGTAGTCATATGGTAATTGCTAGATAGTATACTTCAAAATAAGGTTTCCGTTTTTATATCAATTTTTAAAATAAGTCAGGGTTAGGTTAGGGTTTAGGTTAGGGTTTAGGTTAGGGTTAGGTTGGGGTTAGGGTGAGGGTTAGTATTAGGGTTTAGTTTTGCGTTAGGATAGTTTTTAATACGTTATAAAAACAGAAATCTTATTTTGAAGTATACTATCTAGCGATCACCGTAGTGATATAGTGTAGACAAGGTAGTCATAGTGTAGATAAGGTAGTCATAGTGTAGACAAGGTAGTCATATAGTGTAGACAAGGGAAACATCGAAACAATGAAAAAATGTTTAATTTAAGGATGCCTCACGGTCAATTGTAAAAATCTACATACCTTTTTCATTCAACAACCACATGGAAATTAAACTTTGATATTATGAATCCAAATTTAAACTTCTGCTTACCTTGCAGTTTCCAGATCCTTTAATTTCTTCAAGTCCATAAGTTGTTGTCTTAATTGCTCATTCTCTTCTTTTAACTAAAAGATAACAAATTCTAAGCAATGGACGAGCTGTAAGCAATTAAGTATCTACAGGCCCGGTTTTCCCTAAATGCAGGTCGATGGAGGGAAAACAATACCCTGGTTGCCAGAGGTTCCGCGTATCTTTCGCCTTAATCCCGCGCGTAAAATGAATACGAGCTGGAATAAGGCGAAATATACAAGAATCTCTGGCAACCAGGCCACCAGGGTAGGAAAACAAGGGCCTGAAACAAATCCCTGTCTCGCCGCATGTAAAAATCCGGCTTTTCACCTGACAAAAATATTTTATCTGTCTTTTGTTTGGTCAGTGGTAATTAGATTATGCGATTTGTTCATGATATATTTAGTAGTTTTAACTATAATTAGATTGTTGTTGTCCAAAATCGAAGTGTTCCTGGCATACTTAGATTTGATACGAAATATAAACAAGTACGCGGCAATAATCATAACTTCGTAGAAGCAAAAATCAAATTTTTTATTCCTTTCATCACTAAATATTAGCACTTGCTACAATTTCTTCTGGGTGTATTGTTACAGTAAAAAAGATACAAAAATTATGGAGGAGTTTCAAAACTCAATTGAAGATTGAGTATTTACCACCGTATACCGGTATTAATAATAGTAGAAAAGTGCTTGTAAATATCCCATACACACCCTTTCAGAAAGTACGTCATTTCAATTTATTAACTTTGCCAGATTCAAACAATTAACGTTAACACAAATACTGGCAGGGCAATCGCAACAGCATGCGCCAATTACTGCGATCCCTAAATGTTAGAAAAATATACTATATACACGTACATAGAGAAGTCAATTACTAACGAACTATCAGATTCAACTTTTCACATTGCGACCCACAGGACCACTTTCATTTTGCACTTTGGTTACAGTGCCTCGTTTTCGTCGTTATGACGTCACTCCGTTGAATATGATTCTTTTCATATTCAACATTACGACGTCACTCCATTGAATTTTATGTAAAAACTCCATATTCGACGATTTTACAGTTGGCCAATCAGCAACCATGAATTCTTAGAAGAAATCATCACCCGCCCCTTTATATACCAGAAGAGTCATTACCTGTTGATTCGTGTCATTTCAACGCTGATGTGATTAATTGTGCGTGCGCTGAGAAGCACATAACCGCGTTTAGAATAGTGAGGCTGATGTAACCATTCAATTAACTGGCCAACTAACACGAAGCCAACAGATCACGGAGCTTTTGGTATATAAAGGAGCGTGTATTCATCACTGATGAAGATCCGGGCTTACTTATCGATCTATAATAAATTTATGTGGTGTTTCCACAAACCAAAATTTATATAAACACATCTACCGGCACAAACTTAATCCTCGAGTTGGCAATGTTGATATTTTGGCAGGGGAAAATAGCGGGAACCATTGCTATTTTGCTGGAGAAGTTGTTGTATAAGCGGGATATATCGTTTTACAGTGGGTCATACAGTTTTTGACATATGAATGGTAATCCGGGTTTACAAATCGAAAATTCAATTGCTTCATGCAGAAATAATTATAGTTTTTGTTAATAAACTCCAAATGTCAATAATAGATACCTCCACAATTTCACCAGAATTAGCTGCTTGCAAAGGAGTAAAATCATCTTTTGGATAATCATCTTCAATATCTATTTTTGAAGCAGGTTCACTGTTGGTGGTGATTTGAACTGTGTCGACGCTGTTTTCTACTTCACAAATCTCATCATCTACAATCTAAGAAAATGTAAAAATCATGAGTGCAGTTCAAATTCCCATTTTCAGAATCTTCTATATCTGATAGAAAATCCTGCATGTTAACATACGTAAACTTAAGTTACTTTTCTGTTAGTAAGACAAGCGCGAGTGTGCTAATTATCCTTACTTGCAACTGAAAGCTAATCTGAATAACGAAGGACGCAGCTCAACTTTATTGAGTCAAAGGCTTTCTGAGGGCGCTTCTGGCAGCCACCATGTGACTCAAGTCTGATCACGGACATTTCGGTAGAGCGTTGAATGACTCTATTCACGTAACCTTCATGTCTCGTGAGTCTCAGTCTGCAGCGAGAATCGAACGTGAAAGGCACTTCACGATTGTGCCACCAAAGCCCCATAAATATTTTTAATTTCTTGAAGAATAAGAGCGTTTTCATCAAGACGAATCGCAAGCTATATACTATAACTAAATTCGCATTCGGGATTAGATAAGATATACATCTTTCTACAACGGAAACTTTGCATGGAACAACCTTGCAACAAGTCCGACAATGCCATCAAACTTGTTACAAGTTGTAAACAAGTTGTTCCAAAGCTGTGTTGACAACTTGGGACAAGCAGCGAGAACACAGCTTGTTGATGGCTGTCGGTAGATTTGCTACAAGATGGGAGAATTTTGCGTGACAGTGTAGCCTTGGTGACTGACAACGGCAACAGAAAACAAAATACGTAAACCCCGGGCAATCGAGGATTGAAGGTCGCGTGACTGGCAACTCTCATGCTCGTTTGATCTGGGCTTTAGATATTTGTATGGGAGCCAAAGTATACATTACTAAACATTATTTGCTTGTTAAAACTACTTATCTTTCCTTACAAACACCCTTAAGTAGCAATAGACGTCAATTCATTCAAAGCACCCCCCACGATTTCGAACGTTGGCGTGTTTATGAGCAATGGAATGTAACAACTGTATATGGCGTACCATACAATGCTAAAAAAGGAATTCAATTTATAACAGCCTTTGTCTTGGAGTAAAATTCTATAGTGTTGACGTGTTGTTGATCACGGCCAAACTCACTAATATTACGGGTCTAGTATTTCCTATTTTCAGCCATGTACCACGTCAACCTCGTTCCCAGGTTTGGGTACCACATATTAGTATTATTATTAGGTTTACAATAAGGCCGGTTTTTTGTGGAACGGGCCACAGTCAAGACGTGACGTACTGTATACATGAAGTGTACATATATGTATCAGTGTATTAGTGAATTGTGACTGTACAACTTATCCGATTTTGACATTTTGCCCGTCATTACAATTTTGGCATTTTGCCCTTCATTACAATTACTACAAAGTGTCTTTCAAAACATTGCATCAAGAGGGTGCTTGACACAGAGATGAATGGCTATCACTGTTTCAATTTTACAGAAAAATTTGCTTACGAATTGTAGACCTAAGCAACCAAAAATGTAAAATTTTCACTTTGATCTATCATTGAAACTTTCCCAAGGGGCGGTGCACGACTTTTCAGGGGACGTGCAAAATTCTCAGGGGAGGTGCAAAACGATCTCAGGGGAGGTGCGCACCTCCGTACACCTCCCCTCAAAATCCGGCCATGGTTTACAACAAGAAACAATTACATTTTCCTGAAAAGGGATATTCCCCTATAGAATAGCCACCCGATAATATTACAATTTATAATAAATACTAGTAAAATGGTTACGATATTAATATAATATACGCATTTAAAAGCTAAGACTAAGTACCATATGATACCATATATCAACCCTTCCAAGTCCAAACTCCAAAGTAATCAAAACCGCAAAATTTTAAGTCGGTATATACAGTGTATGTGTAAGTCTGACGTGCATTGGCATGAAACATGATGGAACTAAAGGCCTGCTTACACTTAGGTGGGAGTTTCTTCTCCTCATGTATGCGAACGAGTGGATGTACAAAGGAATTTTAGATGAGGGTACATACATATACTCAAAGCATTCATAACTTATTTACTAGTTCTGTAATTCACATCCATCAGAAGAAAATCGCACTAGAAATCGCAGCAAAAATTGCAAGTGTAAACGGGCCTTAATTAAGGAATCTTGGAGTGAACTGTAGCTATTACTCAATGAGTGGAGCTTCTCTTGAGTGTCAATGCTGTTTTTGAATAGCTGAAGGGTGAGTACCCACATAGTAAGGTATGACACTAGCCCTCCAGCCATTCAAAAACAGCAATGACACTCGGGAAAAACTCAGATTGAACTTCCACTCATTGAGTGTGAGTGAGCTTTTAGAATACGGGCGTATATGTGTTTGTGTATGTAATTGTCAGGGATGGAAAAGTATCGGACCATGCATGGACATTGGTCCCAGAAAAATGTTTTAAGAATTTAATTCAGAATTTCAGAAAATATTTCCCCACGAAAAAAAAGATAATTGTAAAAATATGCCTAGAAGCGTGGCATATAAATATGAGTAATCATGCTTTGAATAGGGATGACGGTGCCTATTTGCCAGAGGAATACATGCATCTCATTGGCAGGTGACGTCGGGTATTTAAGAAGCCAGGATTGCAACTTTAGATCACCCCTGATGAAGACACTAGATTGAAGTGTCGAAACGTTAGGTCTTGATTATAATTCGACCGAGCTTTGTAATCGTTTATTTAAACCAGAGTAGCGAGCGAAACATGAAAAACAGATAATTGTAAAAATGAGAAAAAAGGAAAAATTCAGAGAAAAATTCTAAGGGACCGGTCATAAGTAAAACAAAACTATTCAAATTATCAAATGCAAATGATGCTATTGAATAAAATTAGCCAGTACTTTGTTTAATACAACAACAAGAAGTGGTTGAATCACAGCAAATACAACCAACTGGAGAGCAGCTCAGTATCGTAATTGGTGATGAATGTGCTTGTCAAGCTAGGTGGAATTATGTATGTCAATACAGTGCCGGACCGGGTGTATATTTACAATGTTCATACCTGCAAGTTTTTTTGTTATAAAATTGTATTTTCCCAATTTACTGTAGATTGGGTGGGTGGGTCATGAAATAAATTTGGCAAGATTAGATGGGCTTTGAAATTTTTATCTACATCCTAAGATGGGTCACCAAACTTATTGGCAAAATTTGTGATTTACCTCCAGCCCACCCTAGCAGTTACTTTATGACCAGTCCCTAATCAACAGAAAAAAATTGAAATGGAAAAGGTATGACCTCAGAAATGTAATTATTTATAAGTGCATCCATCATAATAGTGTGATAGTGTATAAATGTATAGAATAATGCAACAAATGTTGTATGGTAGATTCATTTTTAACCATTCTTGGACACCTGATTTTCAAAATGTTCTTGGGGGAGCATGGATTTCCTGATAGTGCTCTGGCCCTCATAGTATAGTGCCCTTTTTTGGCATCTGTATTTCCTTAGGATCCGACCCTTGATGCATGTTGTTGTTTATGTTTTATTCCTGGGAAATATAGATTCTCAGTGCACTGGAATTTTTTCTGTTAAAATATAGCATGACATTCAGTTTGACAACTTGTTAGTGTCACACAGTTACTGTACATTGTCCGAGTGTCGATTTACTTGATTATTTGCAGAACATTTTCAATTTTCTGTTGCGGTCCCAGAAAGTAAAACATTTTTTCCACCCCTGTTTTTTAATATCCTTGTTGTAGCTTGTAGTTTCGAGTTACTGGATAAATAAGTTTCATAGAGAAACCTGTACTTTATGTACTTTTTAAAAACGAAGTAGACCTTGATCGAGTCTTAAGTTGTACCAGCTCAGGTATGCGGAAATAATCATTGGAGTACCAGTCAGATACGACTAAAGATCTTTAATTATCGCACCCTGCTGATACGAAATTATTATCAGAAGCTGCAGACTCGGTGACATTTGCATATGAACTACCGTCCACACACCAGCACCTCCCGTTCACAACACTGGTAAAACGGCAAGTTGCAGCAAACAGTGCCGGAAACTAGGACTGCATGCTAACCGCCACCTAATAATTTCTGAAAGCCTTTACGATAGCTGAATAACAAAGCTGTACTCCCCCAAATATTTCGTTAAGTGTTCGCCATTGACAGGAATGATGAAATTTGCCCAAAATAATTAATAACCGTGGTGATTACATAATAAACGCACCTGCAAAACACGACCTCCAGTTTTCAATGCAGCATCCTTCTTAACAAAATTCTTAAATGAAAATGGATTATTATTTTCCAGTTCATTCGATGCCTCCAATTGCTTTTCCTTGACGTGTGAAGATTTCTTGGCATCCTTCCCTTAAAACATATAATGAAGAAGTATATAAAATATTATTCAAACCGAACTCCTATAAGAATGTATAAAACCCAAGTCAAAGGGGAATGAGTTTGCATGAGAGTTTTGTCAACTCTCATGCTCAAGTCAAACGAGAGTTGCGTGCGAGTTGACCAAAATATCTAAGATATTACCGGACCATCAAAATTTGAACCTGTTCAACGTTGATGAGAGTGCGTGAAGGTACGTTTACACGTTGCGATTTTCCTGGCACGATTGGCAGGGCTCCAGATTTGAATTTCTTATACTAGTATCCAAGTGGATACTAGCACCTTAAAATCTGGTGTCCCTCCTAGAAATAAAATCTCTCCGAGATTTGCAGAGTGAGGTATTCTCATTAGCATGCAGTATCCAAGCAAGGTATATGTTTCAGCTGTTTGTAGTGTCCCTAGTTTATCATGACCAACTTGTATTAGAAAAGCCGAAGGACAAACCTGTGGTTGCTGGGCCAAAACCTCAGTGACTAAAAATACATGTTGTTGAACATTTTGCCACAATATACAGACTTCAGAGTTTGGATTCGAAAATCAAAATTTTTATAGCATCCAGTTGGGATACTAAGCCTATGATTTCCAATATCCAAAATTGAAATCTGGTATCTAGTGGATATCGGGAATCGGGATACTGCAAATCTTGAGCCCTGATTGGTATTCGGGCTCACGAAAATGACTAATGACGCCACAATCCTCTGCATTCACTTGGAGAATTTACTTTAATGCAAACACTTTACCGTGCTTATTTGATTGCATACGCCAGAATAAGAATCATACACGACAAATCGCAGCGTGTAACGAACATCTTGAGAGTCGATGAGAGTAGGCGGTCAGGCGCAAGCGAGAGATGGAATTCTCATCCGAACTCTTATTCTCGTTAAGTCACAGGGTGCGACAATTCGAGATTTTTAATCGTACCTGACTGGTGCTCTAATGATTATTGCCTCGTACTTGAGGTGGTACAAACTTAAGACTCAAGGTGTACTTACTCTTCGAAATGATGTACATAAAGTACAGGTTTCTGAAAGGTATTCATTCAGTAACCTGAAACTATAAGTTACAACGAGAAGGACGACAATTACACACGCAAACACTAGAATTGGCTCCAAGATTCCTCAGTCTCATCAGCAGGGGTCATTAAAGTGGCGACTGCTGGACCGATGGTCGCAGGCACGTTTCGGAAACAACTACTTGCAGCGGGCACATTTTGTAAAACATTTGAAACCAGAAGTTATAAAATAAATTTCATAATTCTCAATATAATTAAATAATTCTTATTTTATTATGTATTTTACTATCTGTTACTATTTGATTGTATAGTTCATGTTTATTGGGAAACATATATAAAGCCATAACTCACAAGCCAGTCTACTAATCGGTCTACTAATCTATAGTAATTCATGGCTGATGGCTTCGCATCTTGAATGAAGACATTTTGCAGGCACATTTTCAAATAATTTTTGCGGTCATGCAAGCACGCAAAAACGACCCCTATACCCATCAGTCCAGTCATGTCTCATGCCAAGACATGTCAGTTTTGAATACCTTGGGCTTAGTAAGGTCCTATGGTACCAGCAAAATGCAAGCACGCAGATAACAAGGGTTCCGCTCCACTTGGTTGAAAACAAATAAGCACCAGACCATAATAGTGCTGTGGCCAAGGGTGGGTAGTAGCGAAGTAGTTGTAGTTCGCTACTGTAGCGAACTACAATTTTCAAGTAGCCAGTAGTTTTTGACTACTTTTTTAAAACAGTAGTTGTAGTTATAGCGAACTACATTTTGCCTAAAAGTAGCCAAGTAGTTGACTGCTTTTCAAACAGCGAATCGCTATTCGCTACTTTTTAAAATATGTTAGCAACCGTTCATAGAATAGCATGATATTAAGACACGGTTTGCTTATTATAAAAGATTATTTTCTACAGTAAAGATTATTTTAGCGCAATGAAAAGTGGCACTCCTGAACACTGTAGTGCTTATAAAAATGTTGCTTTGACCCTTTTTGTTTACTGTTGCTACTCGTAAGTCGATTTGTTGTAGGTTATACTACAGCCTGAGCTAGTGGGCTCCAAATACCGTAAAACTAAAAAATATAGAGTAGCGAAATAGCGAAATAGTTCGCTACATTTTTTAAGCAGTAGCTGTAGTCAGTAGCGAACTACCTTTGTTCAAAAGTAGCAGTAGTTGTAGCTGACAACATATTTTTGAAGTAGCTGTAGTTATAGCGAACTACAAACATTTTGTAGTCGACCCACCCTTGGCTGTGGCGTACAGTACCTCCGGAACGTAAGTACGCAATTTATCGCACCGTGACTTAAGAGTTTCATGAAAATCTTATTTACACTGCGAACTTTGACTGTAAACGTCTGTCCCCCTGGGTCATATTGGATTTAAAATACTGCTCATACAGTATATTATGAGGACCTCGCTTGGGTTCAGCAAAAAGCTGATTTCTGACAGTTATAATCGATACTGTATACTCTTCGCGCAAAGCGTGATGGGGTTGTTTTATTTAGCGGTGAAACGTGACCGATAATTTCTTAATCAGTGATTCATGATTTGAATATTTGGAATCTTTTTCACGTAAATGTAAAAGAGAGTTTTGATTTAATCATGAACCGTGAATGATGGGTGCAAATGACTCGTTGATTATTTGTTTTTCGCGAACATGCAGTTGTTTTAGGATTGAATAGGGAATTCCTTATGTTTTGTATGTTCTCGTTTATTGTCTGTCTCGTTTATTGGCGGGTTGTTCAAAGCTGGGTCAGCTTAACCCAAGGTTAACCTAAAATTCAAAGCAAACTTCCTGACAGCTTGACGTCTAGAAATTTGGAAATATTTCTTCATAGATCTTGTCTGGATCGATAGGAGTTTACTTCTCTGAAGTTTTTAAATGGATAGATATGTAGAAATACATAAACTACAACAGCAGGTTAAATGTTAACCCAGGGTTAGCGTTAACCCACCTTTGAACAACCGGCCTCAGAATCACAAGTACTTGATGTATAACACAGTTACGCAGTAATATTAATCTGTGCATTTCGTTTATATTTTTTCATGAACGTGAAAAGTTTTTGCGATTTTTTGTGAATCCTGAAAAGACTAAATATTTTTACGTTAGTTAATGGCATAAATTGTGGGCCCTCTATTATATGCACTAGAGCTGTGCGGTTCCAAAAATTTTATCTAGGTTCCGGTTTCGGGTTTTTTCGAACAAAAAAACCTCGGTTCGGTTTCGGTTATTTTCAAAAAAGAAGAACAGTACAAATGTATTAACTCATTTATGTATGTTAGTACTAAATAGATGAATTTATGCCTTTGACTTTGTAAGTTTTTATAAATCTCTGAGTATTTTAAAAGAACAATTGGAATTTAGTTATGAAGATGAAATATTTCTTAGTTTAAAAAAAAAATTAAAGCAAGTTCACAACAATTACTATCACAACTAAAATATCAACTATTTGAGCACTTAGTACAGTGCATATTGTGCACAAAGAGCACAATCTTGTTATTTTCCAAACATTTCAACCTGCAATCAGGTGGGTGTTTGGCGGCCGTTAAACGGAAAATTAAAACCGAAACTACCGGTTCTTTTGCGTATAATTTTTCGGTGCTGAAAAAAGTACCGGAAGAACCGAATTTTTCGGTTAACCGCACAGCGCTAATATGCACATCCTTCTATATAAGGATATGGTAGTCCAGGGTGCATTCAATGTAAATGGGGACGACCAAAATTTTCAATTATCGCACCCTGAGAAATATGAAGACATATTATATACTTTCACATTTACCAATTGTCGGTTTACATTTAGGGGCAAAGCAAAAAACATTCTATCTTCTGCTGGAGCAGCAGATCTTCGAATTTTTGTACCTGACTGTAACGTTTCAATTGAAATTGTAAAAATTTTAAATTAATGGTAACTGGCTGGAGGCAGTTTTGTGGACTACAACATTTGTTAAAACTTTTTAGGTTTGGGTTAGTACTCTTAGTAGATTTTTTGAGAGGTACAATATATTGGTTTTTGAGGGTTGTATATTGGTTAAGGTTAACCCTATTAGTGGCAATGTGCCCAGATGCACCCTACTTTGTTATTTTACTCTGTCTAATGCCAGATGATTTTACTTGTCAGGGGTAGAGTGCTGCCACTCAATGGGTTAATAGAGCTATCATGATAGTACCATACAACACATGAGCTTGTGTGGTATATGCCACCAAAATACATTATTACATGCTAGTGCTGTGCGCCAGAGTTTTGACCTATTTTGCTAAATTTCATTTTGCATTTATATGGGAACCAATCTGGCCCGGCTGACTGAGATCCTGCCTTGACTAACCCGAGATCTAAGGTGACTGGGCTGAAAATATCCATATAAATGCAATGCCTGGGCTGTTATTGCTCTGTTTATGCAAATATACTGAACATTATAAAATTAATTACTCTCAGTGAATAATTCTGTGGGTTATAACCATGAAAGTTGCTCACAAAAGTGCAAATTTCAGGTTTGTGAGAAAATATATTTAATATATTATACTATTTATAGCGGTGAGACCAGTGGTTTGTTTTGGCAAACCAGATTGCCTGCAGGCCTCAAAAAGCCTCAATGTAAACGCAGGATGAAATCAGCTTGGCAAAGTGAGCTACTGTAGATTTGGTATCCAGGCTTGCCTCCATATAAACAGCCCCATAGCAGAGCCTGAAATAACGGCCGGCGGTTTTCCGACCAAATTCCGATTTTTCCGACCAAATGCTGAAATGATCGGAAATTTTGTCCGGCCAAATTTTGAGAAAAAGAAAAATGTTTTCTTAATGATCGGGTCGGCGCTCAGCACAGTGAGTACCATCTGTAAGTTTGGATTATCTATATTAGGCTAATATAAAGTAATCAACTGGAAAGTATAGTTCACGGGCAGCCTAGTCCCTGGTCTTCCAAGCGCGGGCGAGTTACAGGCTGTCGTGAACTTGTGGGCTGTCAGTTTCCCCAGTCTCCAAATAATACAGCTTTATCACGGTCAACCTGCAAACCTTATCGATTTCCCCCTAAAATAATGAGGCGGAAGCGAGAAGGCCAGGAACTAGGCTGGTTCATGGGCTCAATAAACAAGAAGGTGGCTTACAGCGTGGTGTTGTCGTGAAAATGTGAGGTGAGTCTTAATAATTTGCAATTTAAATCACCCGTCAATCAATTTAAAACACCCGTCGGCTCACGACCATTTTGAATTTTCGCTACAGTTACAATTACCTTACACAATTGCAAGTAGAGTGATTTACTCAGTGCACGTCTGCATGCTTGACAGAGTTTGCTCATTGGGGGGGGGGGAGTGGACTTTGTCAAACTAAACTAAAAAAAATTCCGGTCAATTTTGCAAATTTCCGGTCAAATTTCGTTTTGATCGGAAGTTTTTCCGGACAAATTTTAAAATTATTTCAGGCTCTGCATAGTCTTTAAAATGAAGTACACAAAATACAGATTTTTGAAGGGTATTCATTCACTAACCTGAAACTACAAGTTAGAATGACTATAGACCTTACTGATTATTCTCTTTTACCCAATGGCCTCGTTTCCATGATAACAAAGCCATTGGGTAAAAGAGAATAATCGTTAAGGTTGCATACACAATTCAAACACATTAGAATCAACTCCAACATTCCTCAGTCCCATCAGTCCAATTTTTCATGCTAAACATGTCAGACATACCCATATAGACCCATTGCACATGACGTCACAGCGCCGGTGCATCTGGAGGACAAATTAGCAATCTATGCATAATATAACTTTTGTAAACAAAGCAAATTTTGAAAAACTTTATAATAATTTTGTATTAAAATGGTTAGTTTTTGCTCTGTATGTGGTCATTGTACCCAAACAGATATTGTTAGGGAGCATCTGGAGGACACTGAAAGGATTTGTGACGTCAGTGCAATGGGTCTATACTGCCAGCTCTCTCCCTTGATGAGTGAAATTGTCTGGCATTAGACGGAGTAAAATAATAAAGCAGACACTTGCCAATAAATCATTGTTCTAAGAGAATTGATAATTTAATCAATCAATATTTTCAATGATAATTTCCAAGTTTTATTGGACTATCGATTCATCGATAACAATCGATGCCAATTGACTAACTGATTGATTGTTATCGATTTATTAGTTGGATTTAATTCCGATCATGGATTTTTATCAATAAGTGAATTTCTGCTGATTGTACAGTAGATATTAATACCTTTATTTCGCTTTTTGACTCCAGTTTCAGTCACTTCAGGGAATGGTAGTTCATTATTTTTAACATTTACTTCGTCAGACCGTGGTTGTTGGGGCCGGCTGCCAGATTTGTTGTCGACGTCCGGATCATCCAAACCATCCTTATTCTTGACAAAATGCTTGAATGAAAACGGATTTTCATCTGTTTTATCATCACTCATGTTATAACACAATAAAGCAAATGAACAGAAAAAGACCCATGGAAAAATGTCAAGGAAAAGCAAGTAAATATTTGAGAAATTGCCACAGAACTAGCTGCTCACCCACAGGCTTTGGCCGAATTACTTGGCCGCCATATTCACTGTCACGCCACAGATGAGGTAGATACAGATGTGAATCTCACGGCAAATTATGTCACACCGATTAAATAAACTTTAAAATTGTATTAATTCACTATTTTATTAAATTTTGATAATGCAGAGAAATAAAACTATACATATTATAGAAGTATTCATGTTTTTTTTATGCCAGAGTTATGTTTTGAGGAATTTATATCATTCGCTGTTTTGTTATTATACATGAGCATCTGAAATTCCCAGCAAGTGTATTTCACAATTTTAATAAGGAATAGATAAGGAAAAAAACAAACTTTTGCTAAATAAAATGTTATGTTATCACTTTTAATAAAAAGAAATCAATAAAAGTGATCGCTTACCGATACTCTTGAAGAATTAATTCCAAAAATAGCCGTCGGTAGCGTAGATTTTAAAAAAAAACAATTTTTCGTCTTTCGAACGGCGTTTTCCTATCTCTTTCCTTATTAAATTTCAGAACGACACTTGCCAGCGCTCGCCGGAAGTGAGAATTCCGTGTGACACAAAACAATCAGCAATTTGACGGAAGATTCACATCTGTATCTACCTCATCTGTGGTCACGCTGACCCACGCTGACCCATTGAACTATAAATAAACTGGAAGGCTAACTGCTATGCAACCTCGTTCCCAGGCTATTTGCTCTTGGGAAGCAAAGACCCTGGTCGGAGCTGGTCACGTGACCCATTGAAAATTGATAGCCCAAGAGGGGGGTGGAAAAGTCTCATATTACATGTTTCCACTTCCGCACTTCGATTGCAAGGAGTGGCCGTTCTGTACAATCATTAATTCATCTTCAAGAATCATATATACCTCAAACTACTAGCTAAATTGGTTTCTGTTTGCTTTTAAATTATACAAACATGCTAAAATGCAGATTCTTATGGCAACAGAAAATTCAGGAAATCAAGCAACGAGAACATATGACTGTACGCTTTGAAATATTTTTATTTTCTCGGGGTTCGCCGGTTCGGGCGTAGTTTTATTTCACGCATACGTTTCTGTTGTGGCTCTGATATTTATAATATGCTTATAATATGCCAATGAATTGTTCTGATATGGACATGGTATAAATTTTGTTAAACAGATGTCTCGAAAGCGACTGTTTATAGGTCGTAGGATTAGCGCCTTGCCGGTCTTAAACGTGACACATTTGGACACAAGCCAAATACACATTGTGAATGTCCATTCTATTGATTCAACTGTTTATAGACATACTGCTCTAGATTTTTTTTTTAAATGGCTATCATCGTTTATATTAAACACCAGGAAGACAAAATATAACGTATAAAATTGTTTGGGAAATCGACAGTGCACAGCTGACATACGACAATTCATAACTGCAAGAATTTCCTTTTTTGTCTGCGCGAGTACCTGTTTGTTGAAGCCAAAATATTGCACAGCATCTCCTATAAATTCTATCGCCATTTACCCTCTCCCCTTAAATGCAAAGGAATGACAGCCGAAAAGGTTTAGCAAAGTATTTTTTATTATATCTGGTATAAAGTGTCCTACGTTTTATCAGGGATATACATAATTCATAAACTGTATATGCACACGAAGTCTCGCTTATATTAATGAGTTTTACTGTAGCAAACCTTTTAAAGTTTCCATTGATAGATAGGTTGTTTGCCTCCAGTATTGTTTGGTAAAACAGACTAAACTTCTAAAATGTCGATTACAGTATACGATAAAGATTAAAGTTGATTTAAATATTGATAACTCACAGCGGCATTAATCCATTATACAAGTCTAAAGAAGCTGGATTATTCTTCAATAAAGCCCTCAATGGACAATGCCAATGTCAATGAAAGGTCTAATATTATACATGTTGCAAATTACTGTATATACAAAATATGAAATAATTTATATAAAGTACAATACCAGTGTCTGGTGCATATATCGTCCTAGATATTCAAGTTGTACCGCACGCACGGAAACCATGCATGTACGGAGTCTTGGCGTTTGTGTGATAACAGATAGCTAGCCTACACTTCGACATTATCTTTCTTGATCGTTGAGTTTCAGCAATGTAAATGAAATGAATTTTATAGCCAGTCCATAACGGGTTTTAATCCTGTGCTTTTACAGTCAGAATAGCAATATTGTTTACACATGTTGGCGATGTTTGGGAAATCAAAGACAAAGGATCCCGTTATAAAATAAATCTTTTGCTTTGAATATCGGACAGGATACACTTCAACTATAAAGAACCATATCGTTCGTTTAATACCGTTTGATCGATCAGTCTGTGTAGAAGATATGTATGTTTCTACGGCGATACGTGCTAAACTTCGCAGGCCAGGCGCGTGTGGAGTGTTTTCCTTGCAAGTGAAAATATGATCCAGCTTCTCGCTTGAAATGTAACGCAACACTTATTATTGATGACATTCAGTATAGCAGGAAGTCTTGTCATGATCGGTACGAATTTAGAACAGTTCCTTTCACAATCTCTTGTTGCAAATTACATTTTATCACCCGAAATTATAACACATAAAGTTGCAATTTTCCAAACGCAACAAACAGACTACTCTCCTACCCCTCCCTGAGATCAAATTCAATTTACCCCCAAAATCTGGGGGTTCACGTGACCAGCTCCGACCAGGGTCTTTGCTTCCCAAGAGCAAATAGCCTGGGAACGAGGTTGACTGCTATGATGAAGGCCTATGATTTGATGAAGCCAAAATAGTTTTTCTGAGTTATGAGCAGAAATACTTGACCCCAAACGTCGTGCTTTATATCAAATTGAAGCTATTAAAAATTGCTATTCGGTGTGGAAATTTCAAGACTTCAGCGAAAAGAGAAATA